GGCAATATTTGAAACATGTACCACATTTTCTCGCAAAAGTATTAGGTCATCAGATAATTATGTTATTCATGATACTTGTCAGTAATTACATAAAGTTTATAAACACAGAGCTGCACTTTTAAAGGATGTGTGATATTTATAGTTCATTCAAACACACTATTTATAATGTTACACAACATGTACCACCATTTCTTGCAAAAGTATTAGGTCATCAGATAATTATGTTATTCATGATACTTGTCAGTATTTACATAAAGTTTATAAACACGGAACTGCACTCTTAACTGATGAGTGATATTTATAGTTCAATGAAACATACGGTCTCAATGTTAAACAACTGTTGTCAACATTTGAAACATGTACCACACTTTCTTGCATATGATTGTACATCTGCCTTTATATTAGCGTAAGCGCAGTACATGTTAATAAAATCAAGCATGTATTATGGGCCTGAATCTGAATCTGTTCTCGTATATCCCGAAGCTAGATGTATCGTTTACAGATATATACATATGACATTGATCCATGTTGATATATGTGTAACATACCATCGATACACTCTCAAAGTTGGATGCAAGGATGAGTGAGTGATTATTGTTAAACTGCGCACCAGCATTCTTGCAGCAATTCGCGGCCAGGATGAGCTGCATCACGCCATATGATGCAAGGCAGCAGAGAAGCAATTAAACCCGAAGTCAAATACCTATTTCCACACTTACATAACATGTCAGTGGATTTCTGTTTCTGTATTCAGAAATTAATACAGTATACGATGTTTTCTTTATCTATGGAGGCGGGACGGCTAGCGGACGTCCGGACAAACTGGATCGCACTGTAAAACTATTAGAATCTAGCTTGAGGACTACACTATAATATTACATATCTACCGCCGTACCATAGTGTCGACCTTGTAATCAACAGTGGAGGCTGGTTCACCGTAGTACCACAGTGTCGACCTTGTAATCAACAGAAGAGGCTGGTTCGCCGCAATACCGTAGTGTCGACCTTGTAATCAACAGTAGAGGCTGGTTCACCGCCGTACCATAGTGTCGACCTTGTAATCAACAGTAGAGGCTGGTTCACCGCAGTACCGCAGTGTCGACCTTGTAATCAACAGTGGAGGCTGGGTCACCGCAGTACCATGGTGTCAACCTTGTAATCAACGGTAGAGGCTGGTTCACCGCCATACCATAGTGTCGACCTTGTAATCAACAGTAGAGGCTGGTTCACCGTAGTACCGTAGTGTCGACCTTGTAATCAACAGTAGAGGCTGGTTCAACGCAGTACCGTAGTGTCGACCTTGTAATCAACAGTTGAGGCTGGTTCACCGCCGTACCATAGTGTCGACCTTGTAATCAACAGTAGAGGCTGGTTCACCGCCGTACCATAGTGTCGACCTTGTAATTAACAGTAGAGGCTGGTTCACCGCAGTACCGCAGTGTCGACCTTGTAATCAACAGTGGAGGCTGGGTCACCGCAGTACCATGGTGTCGACCTTGTAATCAATGGTAGAGGCTGGTTCACCGCCGTACCATAGTGTCGACCTTGTAATCAACAGTAGAGGCTGGTTCACCGTAGTACCGTAGTGTTGACCTTGTAATCAACAGTAGAGGCTGGTTCACCGCCGTACCATAGTGTCGACCTTGTAATCCACAGTAGAGGCTGGGTCAGCGCCGTACCGTGGTGTCGACCTTGTAATCAACAGTAGATACAGGGTCAGCGCCGTACCGTGGTGTCGACCTTATTAACAACAGTAGATGCAGGGTGGGCGCCGTACCGTGGTGTCGACCTTGTTAACAACAGTAGATGCAGGATGGGCGCCGTACCGTAGTGTCGACCTTGTTAACAACAGTAGATGCAGGATGGGCGCCGTACCGTAGTGTCGACCTTGTTAACAACAGTAGATGCAGGATGGGCGCCGTACCGTAGTGTCGACCTTGTTAACAACAGTAGATGCAGGGTGGGCGCCGTACCGTGGTGTCGACCTTGTTAACAACAGTAGATGCAGGATGGGCGCCGTACCGTGGTGTCGACCTTGTTAACAACAGTAGATGCAGGGTGGGCGCCGTACCGTAGTGTCGACCGTGGTTATCACCACTACCAGATTGTTCACTGATGTACCATAGTAACGTCCCTGTAGATCATGTGCAGTAATAAGATAAACCACGAATCACCAGCTACCACCATGGACCAGCAGGCGAGCGGGACAGAACACACGGAGATTCAAAAGGATTAATTTGAATTCAAATCACAAACAAATGGTTACTACATCGAAACGTCTGTCAGTTGTATTGAATTCATTCATACACAGGAAGTGTATTATCATCAGGTGTATGCGCGTGAAGTGACTATTTCACAGCTCGACTATTCAAAACGCTTTTTGGAATATCGCGGCGCACGGCCACACGGAACATTATGTATTAAGACATGTAGCGCTCTTCGATTTCCAAATGATCTGTATCTGCAGCAAAGACAGCAATAACATGTGCTGCTTGATGAAAGCCAAACGCTGTAAACAGTTGCATATAGCGATAAACAGTGACCACCATGAATATGTACATATGAGTTAAACCTGGAAGATTCTGCATTAATATTCATTCGTCACCACCGACACCAGTGCGAACTGTGTACTTCTAAATACTTTATCAGTGGTGAATGTTATCATTAATCCTCCTGCCAACCCGATATAGTTTTGTGATGGCATACAGTTCTCGTTGCCGCTATTAGTATTGATTCGCACATTTCGTGAAGCCCCGCTCTCTAATTTATTGAATACACATCCCATCTCTGTGCCAGGCAGCTTGTGTCCGTGCTCGGTTGTAGCGCTGCCTTCAACCCAGGCTCATTCAGCCAGAGGAATTTCATTGAACTCTTATCAAAAGCCTCTGCCTTCCACCCAGGGCAGTTGTCGCCGACTGGTCCTCGTGTCGGTTGTGTATAGGACTATAAGTATGGATATCCCGTCACTCTCCGGGCAACACACGGTAAGCCTTGTCTATTTCAACCTCAAGCTTGTCTATTTCAACCTCAAGCTTGTCTATTTCAACCTCAAGCTGTTATTTCACTTATCGTTGGTTCCGAACGGACCAGCGTTACTCCATGGACAGTTTGCTCATTGAAATATGATCATCCGTAGCCGAGGGCACATTTCATTATGAGTGTACAGTTGCAGATTTCATGTTTTGGGGTTGGGTTAGATGTCGATTCACTATGTCGTATAGCATATCTGTATGTTTTTGCCATGTAGGTATGCATGAAATACTATACTGAATGTCAACGGTCCTGCAAAACGCATGCTATCGGTGTCCATGGACTATATGAATGTGACATCTGTTGCGTATTTCAACGCTGTAGACAAAATGAAGGGAAAATGTGTCTATCTGATATGCATAATGTATGGCAACATGACAGTCAGCACGACATGGAGAGACTTCTAACGTAGCGGAACCCTCTGACGTCGTTCTGCCTTCGATTAATGGACTATTGCCTCAATTAAAGATGCAATAATCACACAGAACGCCGTATCCCGTGAAATTAAACCCAACTGTGGGAGAAATTAAATTCCTGGATCGTTTTTCGATAAACAGCGGGTACCAGGCTTGAAATAGACAAGCAAGTACCGCTGCTTCCATTGATCATAAATCACTGACATTTCGGTACCCAAGTCAAAGGATAATGTGCCACAGAAAAGATCAAGCGTGCCTTTACGTAAGCAACAGTGTTTGTTCCTGTCATCTCTCGGGGAAATAGACAAGCACTCCCATTGAGAGAGACAACTCTGTTGGTAAAATTGATCTCAAATATCGAAAGATCACGTCCTGTCCCGAATATCAATAGATGCCCAAGCATCGAGATTCCTGAATTGATTTCACCCTCAACAAGCGCCTGAAATTGACAGCCTTCTAAAACGAAATTTTACATTAATTTCGTGACCTAACGCTGACGCGAAGGGTCCAACTTGCGGGATCACTTTGTGCTGTTTACTAACTTTTAGCATTATGTTGACCGTAATGAGATTTTCTCGCTTTTGTATTTACAAATCTCACACGTTTTAACGACCAGACACATATTGTTTGCGGACTAGAGATGTAAATTTTATCTATTTACATGTCATTACATGTTATTGACAACCCTCCCAGACTGTCAGCCTCCTTCAAACTGTGTCCACGATTGATTTCCTATATGAGAGTGCCATCCAGAGCACATAGGAATATTAATACAACATAACGGTAGCCTGAAGAATGCATTAAGTATAACGACTGAGGGGGCTTCAAGTGGCCATCTCCAACTGCCAGTCATGTCTGTGGCTTCCCGTACAGCGTATATAGCACACATAGTGTATGTTCACAAGCAGGTGTTTATGTGAACGTGCATCGGATGATATGTGTATCGACATTGTGTACCAGGTATGATGGCATGAACACGCGTAGATTGTCCATGCAATGCACGTCTCGTGTTGCTTGGGCAGCTGATATACGCTGTTTCAACCTGTTACTGAAACATAGACGTGTCCATTTCATGCCTAGATCTCGACATGCGACAGCAACGTATATTTCGTGTAGGTGACCCGAGAGGAAATAATTTTAAAAAATCATGTGGTCATATTTGAAGAAAAAAACAAATACTAAAATCACTTTGTTTTTTTACGCATCATTCAATGGCATCGTCCGATTTAACCGAGTGTGGAATAGATACTCACGTACTGGCACAGTCTACACGAGACCCTCATATTATTAAGAGCATTATAATATGATAAAGTCTACATGTTACATATACGCACGTATTACTGATAGCATAAGAACATGTCCAAGTCTACATATGACATAAACCCACGTATGACTGATAGCATAATAACATGTTCTAGTCTCACTGTCATTGCTGTGTTGAGGTGAACATCGTCATGCTGATAGTACAGTACTTCGTGATAACCTCACTGTCATCGCTGTGTTGAGGTGAACATCGTCATGCTGATAGTACAGTACTTCGTGATAACCTCACTGTCATCGCTGTGTTGAGGATGAACAGTACTTTGTGGTAACCTCACTGTCATCGTTGTGTTGAGGTGAACAGTACTTTGTGATAACCTCACTGTCATCGTTGTGTTGAGCAGAACAGTACTTCGTGATAACCTCACTGTCATCGTTGTGTTGAGGTGAACAGTACTTCGTGGTAACCTCACTGTCATCGTTGTGTTGAGGTGAACAGTACTTCGTGGTTATCTCACTGTCATCGTTGTGTTGAGGTGAACAGTACTTCGTGGTAACCTCACTGTCTTCGTTGTGTTGAGGTGAACAGTACTCCGTGGTAATCTCACTGTCATCGTTGTGTTGAGGTGAACAGTACTTCGTGGTAACCTCACTGTCATCGTTGTGTTGAGGTGAACAGTACTTCGTGGTAACCTCACTGTCATCGTTGTGTTGAGGTGAACAGTACTTCGTGATAACCTCACTGTCATCGTTGTGTTGAGGTGAACAGTACTCCGTGGTAACCTCACTCTCATCGTTGTGTTGAGGTGAACAGTACTTCGTGGTAATCTCACTGTCATCGTTGTGTTGAGGTGAACAGTACTTCGTGGTAACCTCACTGTCATCGTTGTGTTGAGGTGAACAGTACTTCGTGGTAACCTCACTGTCATCGTTGTGTTGAGGTGAACAGTACTTCGTGGTAACCTCACTGTCATCGTTGTGTTGAGGTGAACAGTACTCCGTGGTAATCTCACTGTCATCGTTGTGTTGAGGTGAACAGTACTTCGTGGTAACCTCACTGTCATCGTTGTGTTGAGGTGAACAGTACTTTGTGGTAACCTCACTGTCATCGTTGTGTTGAGGTGAACAGTACTTCGTGGTAACCTCACTGTCATCGTTGTGTTGAGGTGAACAGTACTTCGTGATAACCTCACTGTCATCGTTGTGTTGAGATGAACAGTACTTTGTGGTAACCTCACTCTCATCGTTGTGTTGAGGTGAACAGTACTTCGTGGTAATCTCACTGTCATCGTTGTGTTGAGGTGAACAGTACTTCGTGGTAACCTCACTCTCATCGTTGTGTTGAGGTGAACAGTACTTCGTGATAACCTCACTGTCATCGTTGTGTTGAGCAGAACAGTACTTCGTGATAACCTCACTGTCATCGTTGTGTTGAGGTGAACAGTACTTCGTGGTAACCTCACTGTCATCGTTGTGTTGAGGTGAACAGTACTCCGTGGTAATCTCACTGTCATCGCTGTGTTGAGGTGAACAGTACTTCGTGGTAATCTCACTGTCATCGTTGTGTTGAGGTGAACAGTACTCCGTGGTAATCTCACTGTCATCGTTGTGTTGAGGTGAACAGTACTCCGTGGTAATCTCACTGTCATCGTTGTGTTGAGGTGAACAGTACTTCGTGGTAACCTCACTGTCATCGCTGTGTTGAGCAGAACAGTACTTCGTGATAACCTCACTGTCATCGTTGTGTTGAGGTGAACAGTACTTCGTGGTAACCTCACTGTCATCGTTGTGTTGAGGTGAACAGAAATCCGTGGTAATCTCACTGTCATCGTTGTGTTGAGGTGAACAGTACTCCGTGGTAATCTCACTGTCATCGTTGTGTTGAGGTGAACAGTACTTCGTGGTAACCTCACTGTCATTGCTGTGTTGAGGTGAACAGTACTTCGTGGTAATCTCACTGTCATCGCTGTGTTGAGGTGAACAGTACTCCGTGGTAATCTCACTGTCATCGCTGTGTTGAGGTGAACAGTACTCCGTGGTAATCTCACTGTCATCGCTGTGTTGAGGTGAACAGTACTTCGTGGTAATCTCACTGTCATCGTTGTGTTGAGGTGAACAGTACTTCGTGCGCTTTGAGATCATTACGAATTCTGCGGTAGACGTTTTGCATTGATAAAATTAAAAATAGTCACTTTAATGTAATTTTAAACTGTTTCGCTGAAATTATATTTGCTTATGAGTAAATAATTCATATTCTACGACTGTGTAAATTCTTTGTAGATATGGCAACCAGACTTTTATGGTGCATACGACGGACATTTTTTTTTATCCTAAAGTTCTTGATTGGCATACCTTTCCTCAATAGTAGGTGGTTTCATTCAGTTATCATTCCCAAAGAAAGTGTACAATGGATACAAACAAATACTTGAAAGAAATCTGAATTATCAGGCTGGTTATTCCATATTCCCATACAGAGCAAGTCCCAGTGTATTTTGTAAGACCATATTCCCATACAGAGCTAGTCCCAGTGTATTTTGTAAAACCATATTCCCATACAGAGCTAGTCCCAGTGTATTTTGTAAAACCATATTCCCATACAGAGCAAGTCCCAGCGTATTTTGTAAAACCATATTCCCAGACATTTGTGCTCTTTGGCGACACACTGACACATCAGCTATCACCTGCCCTCGCTCGTGTATCACCTGTAAGGCGTAAGTGTGACTATTGAACAATTAACTGACATAATCCGAATCAAGGGTGTGTGTACGTCGACCCTGATTGTAGCAGCGCCTGTTGCAGGTACAACACCCACTCAGTCAGCCAGTCAGACATGCCCTCAGTGGCTGCAGGGACACATCAAACATATCACGCAGTGCCTCCAACTTTTTGCATCACATAAAGTTCAGTTCGTGAAACCATGTACATAAATTATTAATGTTCAGAAAGGGAAATAATCCCTCAGTTAACATATACTCAAGTCACTCCAAGTCTGCTAGCTCAACTATCATGATGTAGATTAATCTGGCAGACATTTTTTACCCTGATTACACAGAGATACTGACCATGTTTCACACACAGCACTAATTACAATGTCTGCACGAGGAAAGAGATGTATTTAAGGTCATAAGGAAGCGTCCCGTGACTGTGTGTGGCGTGTCACTTATATCTGGAGGACTACTTGTTCAAATTTTAATTTAAGTATTCATGAACTTACCGAAAATACCTCCAGCCTTATCCATAGATTATTATATGTTTATTTAAATAAATGAATAGATAAAATGTCATGAGAAACTATATCTGATCCAACGTCCGTGTTAACTACATACACTGATAGCCACCAGTAGCTGCAGTCAACGTCAAGGCGCCAGCAGTCGCTACGCGGAGCTGAGATGGTGTGACAAGGTGGTCTTAGGTTCTAGTCTCGGTTTAACCCTGATTAGGGGCTTTGGTCTGTCAGCACCATACCTGTCTGCGGCTTACGCATCAGTTAGCGTTATCATCAGCTGCATCACCTCGGGCTCTCACCCCTCATTTAACTGACACGCCATGATATAACTGCCTTCCTGTTTAAAGCGGCGTGAATCCCAATTAACTCGCTTATTACACAAGTGTCTTTGTGACGCTAATACAACTGAATTTGCCAATGTCATTTCAATTGTTTATGAGAGAATCGTTAAGACTCGTATGGAGGTCAAATAAAAAACAGAGAGCAGCCAAACCATTTCATCTACCTGGTTACCTACACTCACTATCAGAGATGACATTTGGTGTGTTTATGTTCACAATGTAATTAGAACGCTGGGGTAGGAGTTTAAGGCACCTTTACCATTTCTCGAGATCCGTCTTTGAAACCGAACTCCCACGCCACTTCCGCGGCAAGCTCACGATCCCGGAGAGCAATGAAGTCACGTGATATAACTCTGGGGGTATTACCTGGTTGTGATCTCAGTTTCAATTAAACTCCCTTTTCTTCTTCCAATTGGATTTCTTCTCGATTTGCATCTGGTGTAACCAAATGATTTGACTTCCTTTGGAAATGTATAAACTTCTCTTTGAGACCAATCGATTTGACCAACCCTCGTGACGGTGAGAGTCATCGAATGTGCGTCACAACAGGAAATACATTCATTTTATAGCTAGAATTGCAATGTCGTACTCAGAACTCAGTCAACAAAGTCTCGCTGATTCTAAATTAGAACTTACTGAAAAACATGTGAAAAAGAATGTAAGAGACGAACAGCATGTCATATTGAAAGTGTGAATTGTTGATTTTGCTTTTTACGCCCAAAGAATCTGTTTCGGCGAATAAAAGAGACGTTATTCTCTAGCGTCGATGTAAAGTATTTAGAAAACGACGTGTACCTAAATCCATATTTTAATATTCAAATATTATTACATAGGTCAACGCGTTGCGTCCATATGCGTTATTGTATTTGTCTGCAGTGTACCCATCACATTCCGTGAAAATTACTTTAATATATGAATAACTATATGAATCTAACTTCGGGTCTTTGAGACGTTACATGGAAAGGGTGTTTTATTTTGGCCAGTGGTCAGTGAATGAGTTGTTGTTCTTCAACTGTATGTACACCTTGAATAAAGTTTCCTGATGCCGGGGCCACAGTAGATCACTGTATGATCGTGGGTTCGAATCCCGGTTCGCCTCGATTATGTTTCCACGTTTGTTAGCACCATACCCATGTCGTGAGTTTCACCGAAGTGGTTATCGTTTGAGAACTGCATCACTTCGGACTTTCCTCCCACCTTTAATATAACCGGAGTGCTGTTCAAAGTGGCGTTAAACCAAACTCACTCACTCTCCTGATGCTGACGGCAGACCTGCTTAAGTCCCACCAACCGAACAATTTGCCACCTGGGTTCAGCTGAACCAGTATGTCGACAAAAGGGGTCACTTCATAGATACAATGTTGATGAAATTAAGTTTCAGGTTTGGTAGCAGTGTGTTTTGGGGGAACACTACTGTACTTTGTCAGTGAATGTTGTTGACATAACAAATTATATGCATATTGGTGTTGCCAATTACTGAATGTTTGCACACTTTGTATTTTGGCAATATTACATTAATGCATTTCTAATTTTTGTCTTCTATTTCCTATATCTCTTTGCATGCTGTATCGAATTTCTTTTTCACAGTTGTACGTGTCCTGACACTGCTGCGAGTTATATTTCATCGTTATAACTACTAGTCATAAAGTACAATGCGTGGTCCACCACGACTCTTTACAGTGTTACAAAGCAACTGACACTGCTGCGAGTTATATTTCAACGTTATAACTACTAGTCATAAAGTACAATGCGTGGTCCACCACGACTCTTTACAGTGTTACAAAGCAACTGACACTGCTGCGAGTTATATTTCATCGTTATAACTACTAGTCATAAAGTACAATGCGTGGTCCACCACGACTCTTTACAGTGTTACAAAGCAACTGACACTGCTGCGAGTTATATTTCATCGTTATAACTACTAGTCATAAAGTACAATGCGTGGTCCACCACGACTCTTTACAGTGTTACAAAGCAACTGACACTGCTGCGAGTTATATTTCATCGTTATAACTACTAGTCATAAAGTACAATGCGTGGTCCACCACGTCTCTTTACAGTGTTACAAAGCAACTGACACTGCTGCGAGTTATATTTCATCGTTATAACTCCTAGTCATAAAGCACAATGTGTGGTCCACCACGACTCTTTACAGTGTTACAAAGCAACTGACACTGCTGTGAGTTATATTTCATCGTTATAACTACTTGTCATAAAGTACAATGCGTGGTCCACCACGACTCTTTACAGTGTTACAAAGCAACTGACACTGCTGCGAGTTATCAATCGAGTCTCGGAAATACTAACTTGAGGTAAAACTCGTTGTTCATTGCACTAACTCTGCAAACACTGTTACACTCTACTGACAATGATGCGACTTTTCCTGCGAGGCGTCGCTAAAACTACTGGAAGTGAAGCTGTTTGTATCATATTGCGTCAACTCTCCTCACACTGTTGAACATGTACTACACTGCTGCGAGTCGTCGTGTGTGGTGTCGCTGAGAGGTCGTGTGATGTAGATGTGACAGGGAAGGTCAGATGGAAGTGAAGACAATCTTTGTAAGGGGGATCGATATCTGTGTGACCCAAGGCCTCCGAGCTGCCCGTGCCGTGCACGACGCTGCTCCCTGTGATGGCGCTGCTACCATTTGACAAGCTTGGTCGGCGCACTGCTCGTGGCTAAACGCCAGTTGTTTTTAGCTAAATAGGTAAACGTCAAGAGTCTGTAATAACTAAATAAAAAACAACCCTATTACCATAAACAGAGATCGCTTATGTGAAGTCGTCTTTTTAAGCATATCCAACAAAGGGAGAGATAAGTATTTTATGATAAATAACGAATATTCATGGCTGCAGTGTCTCAGACGGTTGGGCTGGAATCATGAAGTACTACCTACATATGTCTCTATCAGTCCTGCTTCAACACCCTAGATCTGTCAACACCCTAGATCTGTCAACACCCTAGATCTGTCAACACCCTACCCGAGCTCGGGGAGTTTCACCACAGCAGTACAACATCACATTTTAACTCATACGACGCTTCGACCTCGCCCAATAATGCGAGTTACGTGGGTATTGAACAACACGGTCGTTAGCCCACGGAAGTGGTGCGGATGCAGACTCTGATGATGAAAATCAATCTAAATCTATCTTGCATCATATCGTGGAATCGTTCACATCCGTTCCCTCTCACAGATCGATAACCTGATTGTATTCGTGCACTCTAGTGCCGTGGACAGACCTTGTGGTGTTAGGGTAGTTGTCGTTGTTGTTGTTGTTGTTATTATTGTTGTTATTTTCTTCGTAATGTTGCGAGGGCGATATTCCTATACCTGTATTCAATTTATCTCCCCAGCGAATATCATCTGATGTTTTCAAACAGTGGAATACGTTATTCTTTAGAATCTCGTCACTTTGTAATTTGCAGAATTGAGAGAAACACGTCATTATACTCAGTATTGATTTCCCCTGAACATTGCATTAAGGTTTTGTATGCCAGCTACTGAAGTAGCTGTTGTAATGTGTATTTCACCTGCCCGTCACACGGAATGTCAACAGTGACGGACGTATGATTG